TTCCTATATCTATCCATATTTGAGAATTCGATGGGATGTGTCTTGGGACAACATGATGAGACTGGAAGGAAGTAAAGAGTCATTTACTACCTTAGCAAGAAGTTTATTGATTGCGTGGATAGATATCCACCAATTGAGAATGTTTATTATGCTCTAGTCTGGGCTACATGAAGACTCAGGCAATATATGCTATATAACACTACTTGGTTAATTTCAAAGTTCGATCCGATAAAATTCATGATGGGTATACCGTACTCCCTAAAAGATTAACCCGATGGTAGATGTTATTATCAAAATTCGACATTGAGTACGTGAGTCAAAAGGATATAAAAGAAAGTGCCGTACAAGTAGAGCTTCTGAAAATTATGAATCATTGGACTTCGATTTCCTAGATGAAGACTTGATGGCCATATGTTTAGAAGAAGCAAGTAGTTCCACATGGGATTCTTGGAAAATGCATTTCGATAGTGCATCAAATGCGTTAGGGCATGATATTAGGGCTATTTTGATCTCACCCAAGGAAATCATTACCCATTCACTAGAAGATTAAACTTTGATTACACTAACAACATGGTGAAATGTGAAGCCTATGTTTTGGGGATTCTAGCTGCTATTGGACAGAACATAAAGACTTTGAGGATGTATGGAGATTTTGCTTTAGTGATCTATCAACTCCGAGGAGAATAGGAAACAAAATATACCAAATTGATAGAGTATAGAAAGATCATCTTGGATCTACTTAAAGAGTTTGATGAAGTCACTTTCTATTACGTGCCCAGAGAAGTGAATCAGATGGAAGATGTTTTAGCTACCTTGGCAGTAGCATTCAGGGCTGGAGGAGTTTGACATGATGTCAATTGACATGCAGTCATACGAATACCCAGCTCATTGCTATCACATCGAAGAAGTAGAAGATAAAAACCCATGGTGTCATGACATTCTATCGTACATTAAAAATCAAGGCTATTGGGAGAAAGCTACTGAAACTGATAAAAGAACGATCAGAAGAATGACAGTCGGATATGTTTTTTATGGAGAAATCTTATACAAGAAAAGTCATAATCAAGTCTTCTTAAGATGTGTAGATGCAAAAGAGGATAAGATGATCATGGGAGAAGTACATGACGGAGTGTGTGGAACTCATACAAATGGGCATATAATGGCAAGATAAGTCATGAGATGCGGATACTTTTGGTCTACATTGGAGAATGACTGCATCAACTATGCCAGAAGTTGTCATAAATTCCAAATCTATGGGGATAAAATAAATGTTCCGCCTCGTTCTTTTCATGTGATGACAGCTCCCTGGCCTTTTTCTATGTGGGGCAAGGATGTTATAGGACAGATCCATCCAAAAGCTTCAAATAGTAATTGGTTTATCCTTGTAGCGATTGACTACTTTACCAAATGGGTGGAAGGTGTATCATACGCTAGTGTCACTCAATCCACTCAATCCAATTTAAACTACAGGATGATGGATGTTGCATGTGAAAAATTCAATGTAAAGCATCATAACTCAACTGCTTACCGACTTAAGATGAATCGAGCAGTAGAATCAGCAAACAAGAACATTAAAAAGATAGTGGAGAAAATGAACGAGACATACAAAAACTGGCACAAAAAGTTACCTTTCACCTTGTTTGCCTATCGAACTTTGGTATAAACTTCAACTGGGGCAACTCCCTTTTCATTAGCTTGTGGGATGGAGGCTCTGTTTCCCACAGAGGTAAAAATCTCGTCACTCCGGGTTTTATTAGAAGTAAAGCTGGATGATACAGAATGGGCGTAAACTCGATATGACCAATTGAACTTAATAAAGGAGAATATATTAAAAGTAATTCACCACGGTCGACTCTACCAAAAACGAATGATTCAGGTACACAACAAGAAGGTGTACCCAAGAGTATTCCATGAAGGAGATATCGTGCTAAAAAAAGATTTGGCCAATTCAAAAAGATTTCATAGGAAAATGGATGTCGAATTAGGAAGGTCCTTATGTCGTGAAAAAGGCCTTTTCCATAGGAGCATTAATCTTGACTGAAATGGACGGGCCAGAACTACCCAATCCAGTTAACTCTGACATAGTCAAAAGATACTTTGCTTAGGGTGAAAACCTGAATGGGCACCCTAAGTCAAAAAAAAATTAAAAAAAAGGAAAATGTCTAGAGTCAAAACCCAAAAAAGGTATTCTAAATTGAAAAAAGAGAAAAAGAAAATAAAAGGTGGGTCCAAGATAAAAACCCGCAAAGGGCATTTTGGAACCAATGGAGGGTCCTAATTGAAAACCCAAAAAGGCGGCTTGGGTAATAATCCAGGACTCGCCCATGGGGAGGTCCTGGATCAAGGCAATAAAGCATTAGAGCATCCAAGTCTTCAGAGACTTAATGATTTGGGAGGAACTTTGCACTCTTTCAAGCATTGTCACAATCTTCAAAGTCCTCTTGACAAACACTACACTCAAAGTCATCTAACGGTGTGCCAATTCAAAGGCGCCCACATTATCGAGATCTAGGGCACCTATTTGACTTTTTGAATATCTTTTTCTTTTCAGAACGTTTTCATGTATTTTATTTTATTCCTCATAAATAAATATGGCCCTTTGTCCAAAAGAGATCAATTTCTTAGCATCTTGCATTGAATTTAAATAAAATGATTTATCCACTTTGAAAATGATCATTGTGTATTATTGTACAAATATTTTTTGGAAATAACAGATGTTTGGAAGCTGATAGAGGTTTTTGCACAATGCTCGAAAGAATGACACTGATACTAGTTTGAAACTCACTAAGAAGTAGAAATGGAATTGATTAAAAATCAAAATCAAATTTACAAAAGAAAATCAAGTCTCCTTTCTGAAACAGAAATTTCCAAGAGGATACAAGTTCAAAATTTGTTAATGATCAGAAAATCAAGAACCAAGAATCTGAGAATCAAGATTGGCAAGAGTCAAGAAACCTATACTGGCAGAGATTGAGATTTCTCTCTAAAGTAGAAAATCTTAAAATGACAAATTTTGCATATGCATTTTAGGAATACATAAGAACATTGCATCTATAGCATTGCACACATGATTACAATTTTGTAGATCTTTGTTATAGTCAATTTTAAATTCACAACAAAGGATGTTCAACTCGAAGAACATCCAGTTTATCGAAACGGGATTTCAACTTCACAACGAAGGATATCCGGCTCAAAAAAAATCAATATGGACTCAACTTCATGAAGAATGAGTCACCCACGATTTTAACTTCACGACGAAGGATATCGTGCCCAAGAGATCGACTCAATTTCACAGCGAATGAGTCATCTACAACATAATTCAGCTTAACAACAAAGAACTATTTCTCAACTAAGGTCTCCTAGTCAAATTTCAACTTCACAACGAAGGATATTGGACTAGAAGAAAACCCAAGATTAAATCAATGGCGATGGATTACTGTCAAACCTAGGCATCGAGCTAAATTTCAACTTCACAGAGAAAGATATCATGTTCGAAGCATCTAAGATTGACTCAACTTCACGACAAAGGGGTCAATCAAGATTTCAACTTCATGATGAAAGACATCGTGCTCAAAGACATCTCAAGATTGACTCAACTTCATGAAAAACGGGTCCTCTGTAATTCAGCTCAATAGTAGGGAACCATCTTCTGTTAGAGTTTTCAAGTTAAATTTCAACTCCGCGACGGAGGATATTCGATAAAAAAGTCAACATTTAGTCAGATTTCAAACTCAGAGACCGACGACACTCACAGGAACATGCTTGCCTTCAAAATTCATTTGTACCGAACGAAAACTTGTGTCTTTCTGACTTTGTCATATTTTCGTTACACAATAATAGGCAAAGAGGGGCAGCTATAGAAACTTATTTTCGTCTGGGATAGTATATATTATATAGTATAAATATATAGTATATATAATATATTTAATATTATATATATAGTATATATTATATATTATACATTATACATTATCTTATTATTATAATATATATTTATATATTATATATCACATGTATATATTATATATTATAGCATATACTTATTATATATTATAGTAGTATATTTATATTATATATTTATTATTTATTATTATATATTTATTATATTATTATTAATATTATTTTCGGTTTTAGGTTCAAGGAATCCAAAAGTCTGAAGTCCAAGTTCAACAATAAAGCCCAACCGAAGAAAGCCTGACCCAGCAAGCCCAACAAAGCCCAACCGAAGCAAACCTAACCCAGCAAGCCCGTTAAGGCCCATTGGTTGGGTGGGATGGAAAAGAAGAGAGTAGAGAGAGAATTTTTTTAAAGGGGGTTTGATTTTAAGAAATGGTTTGAAATGAAATAAAATGGGGTTTATGGGCTATTTATAAGGGGAACCTAGATGCAAATACAAAAATTTAAATTATTTTCGCAGTCCCTGTACTTTTGATTCGTAATTTATTTTGGTTACTTATTGTAATGCCCTTGAATTTTGAATTTATTCAATTTAATCCATGTTTATATTTCTTATATTTTGCAAATTGACACCTAACTTTTTATTTTTCTCCTTGTAGATTTTAGTTAGCATCGATTTGATTCTTAATTTTAAATTCTTTTCAATTTAACCCTTTTTAAAAAAATGAATTTTCCTTTTCTTTTTTCTTTATATTTATTTAATATCTTTTTTATTTATTTTATTCAATTTATTTGTTTAACATTAATTTGATTTTTTAGGACAATTTTAAATTCATCAAAAGTAAGTAATTCGGATCGAATCTTTTAATTCTAATTTAACTTTCAATTTTTTGCAATTAAGACAACCGATAAATCAAAATTGGTACCAAAAGGGCAGTACAAGGGTGCTAATCCTTCATTAGCTATAATCGACTCCCGAATTCGATTAATTTTTGGTAAAACGCAGATCAGATGAATGGTAACTTAAGGAATTTTCCTTCCTTCCAAACAAGAAAGTTCTTGAGATGGATAAGAGAGATTTGTATAAAGAGAAAACCTTTCCGCTACGTGCCCTTATTTGCACCGGATCTTGCTTTCAGGTTGAGGAAGATGGCCCTCAAAGTTAGCAAGCAAAAGCAAACAACAAATGTATTAGCAACATGTCTATGTATGTATGCTATACGAACACGGATACGAGGATGAATCCTTTAATCACATAGAAATATACATATATCGAATACAAATCTGTAACAAAGGGAAGAGAATACGAGGGAACGGCGGATGAAGGACTCACCAGCAGGAGGCAACGAAACTGTGGAACAGAACTCGGAACTTCAGAGGCATGTACTGGTAGTTTATCCAGCCAACTATAGGCCAAAATTGCAAGTTGTAAACATATAGCTATGTTACAAGATTATGTTTAAACATGTGGTACAACAGTATGATCTTTCAAACGTATGGAATACTTCAAGAAAACTATAACATACTCGCCCCGAGTTCGAATAGAATAGCTACATAGTCATATATCGTGCATCGTTTATATTCGCATACCTTCCAAGCAGTCAATTGAATGTTCGGGTAATCCTTTCTAACTTTACTTCTGGCTAAACCCCATGGCCTTCCTGAAAAACAACACAATGTTCTTTACAAAAACAGAATTGCATTCATTCATCATTACACTTATGTTATCCGGATTCGGAATGAGTATCGAGTATGTTTATATCTATCTATGTTACTCTGATTCGGATCACTACAATTCAAGCATTTCAACATTACTGATATAGAATGAAAGTGAGGAAGTGACTACAACACCAGCATCAACAAGAACAACAAAACAATGGTACTGCCAATAATATCACAACTCTATGTTACTTCGAAACCGGTTATAGATGTAGCGTATGCATCGAACACGAGTACGTCAAGAAGAGGAACATACGTACCTTCAACCACCAATCCATAATACATCATGAAGAAAAAGTTGTTCCAAGGAGAGGAAGTCAATTGTTCCAACAACACCTTGAAAAAACCAGAACAAAATTCAATTTTTCCAAGAGTTAAGCAGTAAAAGAAAACCTGGGAATTGGAAGTCAAACCAATACGAACATCATGTGTTTTCTTTCCTTCTTTGCAACAGTTTTACTGCCTTTATTTCCCCTGAAGATGATATCCATCACTTTATGAAGGAAGTGCCCAAGTGGTCCTGAATATGCAAATCAATAAAGCTGCAAAGGGAATCCAATTTTTCTCTCAATTTTCTTGGCATCCAAACAGGAAACTTGAGAGTATGATTCAAAGTTCAAATTATATTGCGCTAATTTGAAGATATTTGTCTTACAATTTGTCTGACCATTCAAGGCACCGGAGAACTTGTCTCATGGTTAATAATTAAATTGCAAGTTCAGAATCAAAACTTTACCTTACGTTAAGATGCAAGTTTAGAATCAATTCCTACACTCATTATATGTGTTCAGTATGATGAACTCATTGGTTAAGGGATTTGTTATTATTCATTGAGCTCTTGAGTTCGAGCACCTCAATGCTATTACGAACATTGTGGATATCGTGATTGTGAAATGATAGTTTCGAACGACACCTTTACCGTTGTATAATGGTCTCTATTCTGATAACCAACCACTATTTAAATCCTTTATTATTACTTTTCATTGTTAATGGAGATGACTTCTTTCCATATTAGTTTGTCGTCCCTCCATATCGATATTGTTTTTAGTAGATATAAAGCAATAAAAATATTCTTCTTTTTCGAGAGAGTAACATTTTAGATTTTCTAAAAAAAAATAGGTTGATAATTAAATTATAAGTTTAGAATCAAAACTTTACCTTACATTAAGATGCAAGTTTAGAATCAGTTCCTGCACTCAATTATACATGTCTTTCACAACTTTCTTTCTACTTGTGAAAGTGAAAATAAATTACAATTGTTTTTTAAAATTATATAAAATTGAACACTTTGTTTTTTTTATTTGCTAATATTATAAGAAAATTATAGGAAAAATTGAATTCGAGAAGAAGAAAAAATTTTAAAAGCAACACAAATTTGAGAAAAACCTCAATTTTATTTATGAATAAACACAACCTTTTAACTGAATAAACATAGAAAATGCAATCCTTCTCTTCATCACTTGTAAATTACTTACAAGTGAGATGTGACTTATTATCTTGTAACAGTTCTTACACAACACACTTTTATTTTTTAGACAAGGAAAATAAACACACGATTAAACCAGCAATCAAACATAACTAATGCAACTCCATGTTCAGACATGTTGAAACCAAGCTTTCACATCCTTGCAATTGAATCTGCTACTTTGATCCATCCACATTGAACCTTACAGAAAATGGAACCAAGAAAAAATAATTAATATTGTTGATGAGCCATGATTGAAACTGCAAAGTTAAATCAAAGTAGAAAAATATTTACAGAGGGGGAATTAACAAAGGAACATACCTTGTATTTGTTAATCACGTTTTCGTCCATTTTTAGCTATCTGTTTGAGTTTTGTAAAGCGCAACTGGTTCATGTTGCGGAAGACGGCTATCGGATAGAGCAAAATTGCAATTGATAATTTGAGAAAATAAAAATAAAGATAAAAGAATACATAAATTTTACGTTGAAAACCCCTAAATAATATAAGGTAAAAACCACGGGCAACGGTAGAAGAATTTCACTATGAGAAAATAGGGATTACAACTTCTCTTGATCTACCAAGGAGAAAACAATGACAATTCTCTCTTGATAAAAATGAGAAAACAACTCTCAAGAAACTATCTAAATTCTCTAGTATTAGAAGAAAGCTAGAATGCTTTGGGATCATTTTGAAGCTAAATGAGCTAGGGCATTTATAGTTGAAGCCTAAGGACTAATTTGTAAATACCCTAAAGTTTAGTGACTAAATTGAATTATCATATTTTACATTTTCAATAAAAGGGGCCATGCACCTTTCAGTGCATTAATTTATGCACCTTTCGGTGCTAGTCAACAATCTCCCACTTGAAGATTTGATTGGAACAATCATATCTTCACACCATTCTTTCTACCTTGTACCTTCATGTTGGTTACGTCTCTGACAGGCCACGGGAGGATCGACACCAGGTAAATTTATCAGCGTTGATCTCCTTCGTCATGAAATATGCTATGTTGTCTTTGGTATGGATCTTCTGCATAATTATTGTCCCTTCTTCCACCTTTTCACGAATAAAATGGTACTGAACTCGTATGTGTTTTGTCCTTGAATGAAATGTTGGATTCCTTACTAAATGCAAAGCGCTTTGACTATCACAAAACAAAGAGACATGCTCTTGATTGTGTCTAAGCTCCTCCAATAGCATTTTCAACCAGATTGTTTCTTTACTGGCTTGTGTAGCTACTACATATTCTACCTTTGTTGTGGAAGTAGCCACAACTTACTGCAATTTTGAAACCCAGCTTACAGCTCCACTAGTAATTTTGAACACATATCATGTAGTAGATTTGCTTTTATCCAAATCCTCTGCATAGTCAGAATCTACATACCCATTGATTAGTAAGTTTGATCCTCTATAACATAATGAAACATTTGAGGTCCCTTTGATGTATCTCAGGATCCTCTTTACTGTATTCCAATGCTCTTTTCCTGGATTCGCCATGTACCTACTAATCACTCCCACTGCTTGTGCAATATATGGTCTTGTGCATATCATAGCGAACATTAAACTTCCCACTGTCGATGCATACGGTACTCGAGACATCTCTATCCTCTCTTCTTCACTGGTAGGACTCATACTAGAGGATAATTTGAAGTTAATAGGAATAGGGGTAGAAATTGGCTTACAATCTTGTATGTTGAACTGTGACAAGATCTTCTTCAAGTAATTCTTTTGTGAAAGCCAAATCTTCCTATTACTTCTATCTCGGTAAATTTGTATCCTTAGAATCTTGTTTGCTGATCCCAAGTCCTTCATTTCAAATTCCCTAGCAAGTTGTGCCTTCAATTCGTCAATATGATCTTTGTTGGGTCCTGCAACCAACATGTCATCCACATACAACAGCAATATAACAAAATCGTTATCACCAGACCTCTTGAAATAAGCACAAGGGTTTGCATTAAGTCTGTTGTTTCTAAGGCACATAATGAAGGAATCAAATCTCTTATACCAACACCTCGGCGCCTGCTTTAGACCGTACAGAGATTTGTTCAACCTGCAAACCAAGTTCTTCTTTTCTTCTTCTTCAAAACCTTCAGGCTGGAGCATGTAAATCTCTTCTTCAAGATTTCCATGAAGAAAAGTTGTTTTAACATCTAGCTGCTCTAGATATAAATTCAATGTAGCACACATTGCCAAGACTACTCGAACTGTTGTTAGTCTAACCACAGGAGAAAAGATTTCATTGAAATCAATACCTACTTTTTTAGCATATCCTTTGACCACCAATCTTGCACGATACCTCTCCACTTGATCGTCACCATTTCGCTTGATTTTGAAGACCCATTTGTTAGTAATTGGCTTCCTTTCTTGTGGTAGTGGCACAAGGTCCCATGCATTATTTTTGTGAAGGGCTTCAATTTCTTCTTGCATCTCCATCATCCACAGTGAAGCATCTGAGTTGTTTACTGCCTCATTGTATGTTGATGGCTCACCGTCCACTGTTAAAAGGTAGTATGCAATATTTCCTTCTATAACATCATCTAAGTTCCAATTGGGACGTCTTATCACACGATCTGATTGACGAGTTGTTGGAGCTTCAGAACTTTTTGGTTCTTGTTCACCATGTGCTGGTTCTGCTTCAGAAGAGTCTCCTTGTTCAAACTCCTTTTCCACATGTATCTATGTAGTCTCTGACTTTTCAGCGCTACTATCTTCTTCTTTTTTTGTAGCTTATCTTCTACAAAGATAACATCCCTGCTAATGATCACTTTACGGGCAGTGGGATCCCACAAGCGATACCCCTTTACACCATCAGCATACCCCAAGAATTTGCATTTCCTGGATTTTGGATCCAGCTTTGAGTTTTCTTGGGAGTTGTACATCACGTACACAATACTTCCAAATACATGGAGGTTTGAATAATCAGTTGGTTTACCAGTCCACATCTCCATTGGTGTCTTTAGCTCTATTACAGTTGATGGAGCTCGATTCACCAAATAACAGGCGGTATTGAATGCTTCTGCCCATATTGATTTTTCTAGGCATGCATCCCTCAACATTGCTATTGTTCTTTCTAATAATGTTCTATTCATCTGCTCTGCCACACTATTTTGTTGAGGAGTGTTCACTACTGTGAACTGTCTTTTGATGCCTTCTTTCCTACAAAAGTCATCAAATTCTTCGCTTGTGTATTCTCCTCCATTATCTGTTTTGAAACACTTGATCTTATTTCCAGAATCAAGTTCCACCCGCGCTTTGAAGTTTTTGAAAGTGGAAAACACATCTGACTTCTTCTTAATAGGGTACACCCAACATCTCCTGGAGTAGTCATCAATAAATGAGACAAAGTAATTTGCTCCGCCTAGGGATGTAACTGGTGCTTGCCATACGTTAGAGTGAACCAATTCTAGAACACTTTTGCCTCTAGAATTTGACATGTTGAATTTCAACCGATGTTGCTTACTTGTTATGCAATGCTCACACAAAGTAAGTGATACCTTTGTTAAGCCTGAAAGTAACTTTTTCTCCACAAGGACTTTCATTCCTTGTTCTGACATGTGTCCAAGTTTCTGATGCCATAGATATGCAGAATTTGAACTACATGAGGCTTCTGCTTCTAGCAAAGTCTCTCCCTTCAGCATGTACAAGTTTGCAGCTATTTTTTCGCCTTTCAGCACCACAAGCGCTCCATGGAACACCTTCATTATTCCATTCTGTGTTTCAATCTTTCTTGCATTATTATCCAACAATCCGTAGGATAATAAATTTTTCTTCATGCCTTTCACGTGCCACACATCTCGAACAACTTTAATTGTTCCATAATACATCTTCAATTTGATGGTTCTCACACCAATGATCTCTAAGGCATGATCATTGTAACTATACACTTATCCTCCTGAGACAGGTTCATAATGATGGAACCATTCTCTTCTTGAGGTCATGTTATATGTTGCTCCTGAATCAATGAGCCATATATCTGTAAATCTTTTTCTGCCTTCCACGGTGATTAACGCTTCACAACATAGAGCATCTCCATCATCTGAAGTGTTTGCGA